AAAGCGGGCAGTCAGCATCTGGGCCTGGGCAGAGCGGAGTTCCAGCCGCGAGTAGGAGGCTGGAGGGTCAGAAATGCACCCAGATGCCAACTGAGTCAGGTCTCTATGAAGCAGGGGGGGCAGGAGGGGCTGCCCGGAAAAGGGCGCAGATAGGAATAGAGCACCCGGCCAGGCCTGGCTCCGTGGTCAACCTGTGAACCCGGAGGTCACGGTTCTGGTTCGATTCCTGGGCAGGATACATGCCCGGGTTTCTGGCTCGATCCCCAGTAGGGGGTGTGCAGGAGGCAGCCGATCGATGTTTCGCTATCATCCATGTTTCTTTTCTTTTTTTAATATATTTGTATTGATTTCAGAGAGGAAGGAAGAGGGAGAGAGAGAGATAGAAACATCCATGATGAGAGAGAATCATGGATCGGCTGCCTCCTGCACGCCCCACTGGGGATCGAGCCCGCAACCTGGGCGTGTGCCCTTGACCAGAATCGAACCTGGGACCTTTCAGTTCCCAGGCTGATGCTCTATCCACTGAGCTAAACTGGCTAGGGCTATCATCCATGTTTCTCTCTCTCCCTCCCCCTTCCTCTCTCTCTAAAGAAAAAAACAAATCAATAAAAACGTATTTTAAACAATATGAGCTAGGTGATGAGCTTATCCTGAGGGGGAGAGTGGAGTGTGGGCAGGGTCTCTACTGTCCCCAATGCCTTGAGTCCCAAAGACCTCGACACCAAGATGGCATGCCTTCGAGTCCTGAAAGTGTTTGTTTATTCAAACGAGGTGGAAACTTGCCCAGTTCCTGACACTGCTTCCTGATGTGATCTGCAAGTTCTCCCAGACTCCCAAGCACAAGGCCAAGGTTCTCCAACCGTGCCCTCACCCCAGGTCAGGAGCCTCATCCAGATACGCCCATGTTTCCCGCCTCCTCTCAGGGGCCCATAACCCTCCCCCTGGGACAACTGTGTGCCCACCCTGAGAACTTGCCTGCCTTCTGCACGCTGAGAAGCCTGCTGGTCTGGCCGGTTCTTCCTGGGCGGCAAGGCCAGGGAATCGGGACTTTTCAAAAGCTTCAAAGAGCCTAGGGCACCGTGATGGAGCTGCAGATGTCCGTTTCTCCTGGCTTCTTTCCGGACGCACCCTAGAGGAGAAGAGGGAACACGGGAACGTTACGGTGACAACACCGTCCGAAGAGAAGCAGATATTGATGTGTTAGTGAGCGTGTGTTTGTGCACGTTTTCTCACGACTCTTTTTTGCTGACGTTTCTTTCTCTTTTTTAAGATGTATTTTTATTGATTTCAGAGAGGAAGGGAGAGGGAGAGAGAGATAGAAACATCCATGATGAGGGAGAATCATGGATCGGCTGCCTCCTGCACGCCCCACACTGGGGATCGAGCCCACAACCCGGGCATGTGCTCTGACCAGGAATCGAACTGTGACCTCCTGGTTCCTAGCTCGACGCTCAACCACTGAGCCACACTGACCGGGCTCACTGACGTTTCTGACGTGGACATCAAACAACGCTACGTAGCCTTTCGGTACCCCCTGGAGTGGATGGAGGACAAAGCTGTGCAGGTCCCAGGATTTCTGGAACCAGGAAACAGCACCACCGCCCAGCAGAGGGGGGGGCGCCCATGGCAGGAACACGGGGGCGTCAGAACAAGTGCAACGCATGTGGCGCTTCTGGCAGCCACCGGAGGAGATGTTTCTGTCTCAGGAAGCTCCCCTCAGGCCTAGCTCGGTGGCTCAGTGGTGGGCGTCGACCTAGGAACCAGGAGGTCAGGGTTTGATTCCCGGTCAAGGGCTCAGGCCCGGGTTGCGGGCTCCATCCCCAGTGTGGGGCGTGCAGGAGGCAGCCAATCCATGATCCTCTCTCATCATGGATGTTTCTCTCTCTCTCCCTCTCCTTTCCTGTCTGAAATCAATTTTTTAAAAGTTTATCTATTTTTGAAGTCCCTCTCAGGGAATGTGTTTGGAATGCTGTGGGCTCCCCCTTGTGGCCAAGCTAGAGAACACGCAAATGACTCAAATCAGAAGCGAAGGAGGGGGGAGCCCCAGCTGGTTTGGTTCAGTAGGTAAAGCACCTGCCTGCAGACTGAAGGGTCCCAGGTTCGATTCCGGTCAAAGACATGTACCTGGGTTGTGGGCACATACCCCAGTAGGGGGTGTGCAGGAGGCAGCTCATCGATGTTTCTCTCTCGTCGATGTTTCTAATTCTCTATCCCTCTCTGTAAAAAAAATCAATAAAATATATATTTTTTAAAAAAGAATATTTGGTAACATGTGAAAATTACATGAAATTCAAGTCCCAACGTTCATGAATAAAGCTTTATGAGCAAATCACACGGACCCCGTTATAACGGCCCCTTTGCAGGCCGCTTAGCTCTGGGCCGCTACGGTCGAGACGGAAGGCTGCAGTGACAGGTGCATGGCCAGACTGGGCGCTCCTCACACTGCTCTCGGCTCCCAGGAGAGCCGCGGCCAGGAAAAGTCGGAAAAGTAAACAGGAAAACCTCGACACAGCCGCTCTCCTGCTTAAAAAGAAAACTTGGAGTCAGGGCTGCGACCAAAGTCAGTCGCCAAGTGGCTCCTTTGTTCGCCAGGGGAGGAAAGCCGTTCGCAGATGCTGATTTGCCTAAACCATGTTTGACCGCAGCAGCCAAAGAAATGTGGTCAGAGAACATAAACTTGTTGGAGATGATTAGCTTTTTGCTTGATAAGGTGAGAACTTTGGGAACAACAATAGTCGATTAAAAACAAAAAACACAAACATGCATGATTGTCCAGCAGAGGGCAGCATTACCCCACGGAACAAAACCACCTACAGGAACCCCATTCCGAGGGCAAATGTGTTCATTTGCCAAGATTTAATAAGCGACGTATTCGTTTGTTTAATCTTCATGAAAACACGGGAAGGTGGGTACTTTTTTATAATCCCGCTTTTACAAACAAGAACGCTGAGGTGTGGAACAGTTAGGTGACATTGATAAGGTCTCACAGCTGGTAAGGCTAGGCCATTTGTCTCCCTCCGGGCCTGTATTTTGATGAAAGTAAATGACGATAAAGTGCTTTCTCAGTGCCAGGCGTGGTCTAAGCACTACGCATGTTTTAATCCCTTTAATCTTTTTTAAAAAAATATATTTTATTGATTTTTTACAGAGAGGAAGGGAGAGGGATAGAGAGTTAGAAACATTGATGAGAGAGAAACATCGATCAGCTGCCTCCTGCACATCTCCTACTGGGGATGTGCCTGCAACCAAGGTACATGCCCTTGACCGGAATTGAACCTGGGACCCTTCAGTCCACAGGCCGATGCTCTATCCACTGAGCCCAACCGGTTAGGGCAAATCCCTTTAATTTTACAACAACCTCAGGACTTCGGGGCTGTTACTACCTTCCCATTTCACAGACGAGGAAACTAAACAACAACAACGAAAAACTGGAGAGAACATGAGCTCTTACCTCCTCAGGTCTGTCCTTTAGGGTGGGTCTTGGGGAAACGCTGATACAACAACTGACTCACAAGGCAAAAAGAATCGCCACTTCCAGTCCAGGTCTACATTCTTCCGGAATATTCTAAGGTGACGTATCAGGACGCAATTCCTCTTCCTCATCTCCAGCGTAGGGGGCTTCTAGTCTTTTTCTGAAGACACTCCTGGTCGGGCTACACGTTGGTACAACCCCTTTTGAGAAACCATTGGGAGGAATCTTTGAAAGTAGAACACACAGATCCCCTCAGACCCCGTCTTTCTGTCCCTCCTACCAGTCTCTGTGTGGCTTCCTCTTTAGATCCTTCGTTGTTGATAGGACTTCTGGTCACCTGGTGTTCAGGTGATGGCCGTTCTAGAATTTCGTTGTAATCTTGGTGAGATTGCGGGAGGAGGTGAGCACAGAGTTCACCCGCTCCACCATCTTGACCAGAAGTCAAGCATTTTGCTCCTAGAATTGTTCCTTTTTTTAATCCCTGGTCTTTCCTCTCGTTCTCAAACCTACTTGGTCTCATCTTCATTTCGCCACGCTGGCTTTCTGTTGATCTGTGTTTCATTCCTGTTTCTAGGATACATTTTTTTTTTCACCCTTGGATGTGGATCTCAGCTTAGTTTTGGGTTTGCGACTGGTTACTACAGTAATGAGAAATCGGTATTAAAAGCATAGGATTCGCCCTAACCGGTTTGGCTCAGTGGATAGAGCGTCGGCCTGTGGACTGAAAGGTCCCAGGTTCGATACCGGCCAAGGGCATGTACCTTGGTTGCGGGCACATCCCCAGTAGGAGGTGTGCAAGAGGCAGCTGATCGATGTTCCTCTCTCATTGATGTTTCTAGCTCTCTATCCCTCTCTCTTCCTCTTTGTAAAAAATCAATAAAATATATTTTTTAAAAAATAAAAGTAAATAAAATAAAATAAAAGCATAGGATTCTGGGAGCCCCTTTCCGTGGGGGGCACTGACATTAGAACTCCTGGTGAGAATCTGAGGAAGCGAGGGGAAGAGATGACACCCTTAGTTGCCCCGCCCTCTATAGGAAGCACTTGTCCATCACGGGTTTCAGGTGGGCGGGCTGAGCGGAGAGTTTTGAACCAGGAAGAGCCAGGAATGTGCTTCTAGACTCCAGGAGGCGATGTGAGGGCGATCGAGGACAGGTGGAGCCCACCCTTAGGGTCCTGGCACTTGGGGGGATGAGCAGCTACCGATTGCTTGCCTGCCACCCAACGAATCAACCCCGAACACAGTGGCTTCACACAACACCTGTGACCTCCCAGGTGACACGGGCAGGAAGGAGGAAGCAGGTGAGCGGGGCGGTTCCGGTAGGAGATTGTCATCACGTGTTGGCCGGGCTGCCGTCTTCTGAAGGCTGGCCACCGGCCTGGCTCACTCGTGCCAACACGGGGCCTCAGCTGTTTGCCACGTGGGTCTCTGCAATGGTGTGTGTCATTGTTCTCATGGAAACTGGCTTTGTCAGAGAGCTGGGAGGCACGCGCCATTATTTCTGCACTATCTTATGGGCGATATGAGTCAGGTCTACTCAGGGTGGGAGGGGCCCGCACAGGGTGTGCCGACCAGGAGGCGAGATCACGGGGATCGCTGGGGCCAGCTACCAGGACAGGTGATGCAGAAGGAGCTGCGATGCATTAAAGGTGGGAACTGCCTTACCACCTGGGCGAAGGACAAGGGTTGGGACAAGTCTTAGACAACGGGGGGCGCAGAGCCTTAGGGAACTTTGGGAGAGCAGGGAGGGGAAGAAAAGCAAAGTAGTGACACAGAGGCTGACAGTTCAGATTAGAATGTTTGGGACAGGACGGAAAACTGCCTTTCTGCCCGGCCGGCGTGGCTCAGTGGTTGAGCATTGACCTAGGAACCAGGAGGTCACGGTTCAATTCCCGGTCGGGGCACAGGCCCGGGTTGCGGGCTCCATCCCCAGTAGGGAGCGTGCAGGAGGCAGCTGATCCCTGATTCTCTCTCATCATGGATATTTCTCTCTCTCTCTCCCTCTCCCTTCCTCTCTGAAATCGATAAAAAAAATATTTTAAGATAATAATAACATAGCTAACTGAACTCCTTCCCTTCCAACATCAAACTCTTGTCACCATTCCAACGTGCAGGAGTAACGCTCATCTTCTCGTGCGTTGTTCTAGGACGGACAAGACAGAGAAAACGTTTGCGTCACTGAAGCTTCTGCTACTCCTGCCCCACAGGCTCTGCTCAGAGGCGGACTTGGGCAGGTCTGTCAGGCACATGAAGGTGCCCGTCGTAGGAGTTGTGGGTGCTCCCTTGCCCTCGCCGGGAAAGATCTAGAAAAGAGATACGGCCGCAGTTTGGGGAAGGGGGTGGGACAGTCCTTTTCATGTCAGGATTTCTGGCCGCAGCGCTGACCGGTGTTGGGAAAGGATGACGTGATCAGTACTTATCTTCAGGGCGGCTGAGAAGATGAGAGGAGGTCACGGTTTTTGCAGCGGCTCAGAGGGGCTTCTGGAGGAGTTCTTATCCTCGGGGAGGATTCAAGCAGCT